CCGTAGGAATGGAAACTGCTTAAAGCTTTTCTCACCTCTTGGGAAAATTTCTTTCAGAGGAAGTAACCCGGGGTGCCACTAATTGGCTTTGCATAACAGTAGGCAAATTTGGCCTTAAAGCAACTGTGACACTGTTTGCCAATCAGCTCAAATACAGATTACCAAAATCAGATTTTCTGGGAACCTCACAGATGTTTCTATTATGAATTCTAAAAACTATGTGGCTGTTGACACAAGTATCCCTAATGCCTTTCCAAGCAACTTAATGATTCTTCTCATTTAAATATTCACTTCAATTTCTTGCAAACCCCAAGCTGGTGCTTCTAAGTGCTTCATTGAAAAAGATCAAAAATATTCATCATGCACTGATTGGACCGATAAATCTAAGTTCTAAACTTTGCCAAGAAAAAGAAAAAAAATGGACTTCTGGTATGTCTTCAAAATCAGTTGCCTCTAGGAATTTCCTGTACCATGCTCAAATTAGTTTTAATCCAATAGTATACTATTTTGACTAACCTTGTACATATTTCTTAAAAGAATAATTAAGAGATGTTTTGCTAAGTAGATCATTTTCATGATAAAGATATTTAAAAAGAAGAAAATGCCTGTTTTGGGTACAACACTCAGATAACTGAAATTTTTAAAAATCAAGTTTTTTGGTACACGTCTATGTGTCCACACAGATGCAGAGCTAACGGTTCCTGCTGATTTTATAATTACTTTGGGTTATGTAATACATATTATTCTGCTGATAATAAGCCCTAAGAAGCAAAATTTTGCTGTATTGATATGGCCTGGCCAAAAACAACAAGGGAAAGAAATAGCATTCAAAAAACTGGCAAAATGTTTATGAATTCTAATCCTCTGCACATGAATAAATACATCTGACAAAGAGCAGAGGCCCTCAGAAAGGCCCCTCTTGACCTTTCTAATGTGAGTTCAATTGCATGTTCAGTGTTGAGAAACTAAAGTGGGTTCTGCCAATGTTTTAAGTTCAAGCTTTACTACATTTTGTTATTTGTAAAAGTGAAATCCCAGATAATGAGTTATAATTGCTCTATTAATCACTGAATAAAGGGTTTGGAGGGAAACTGGGATTTGAAATCGCAATAGGTGGTATCTGAAAGACATTCTTTTGTATTTTCTTACCTATAGCTTACCATACAAAACTACTGTGAAAACTGCATATATGCACTTTTTAAAAAAATGGTGAGGTACATGCAATATGCCTTATATATTATTTCTCTAACAGAATGAAATTTAAAAGTTCAGTGTAGTCATAATGATCTTTGACCTTGAAAAAAATGCAGAAAACCAGGCCTTGGATTATAAATTATATCGTCAATGAAAGTGAGAAGAACTCTCCATTCTTTAATGCGTTTTATGTATTATATTTTCATTTCCTTTTTCCAAATGAATTATAATGTAAAACACACTTGTATTTTTCTTTAATTTTTCACTTTTAATCATCTTTCTTTTTCTTAACTTTGTTCTTCCATATTCTGATAGACCTGACAACAAAATTTACCTTTCAAAAATTCAATAATCCCATATTCATTGTTACCCTTAAAGTATCTACTAGGAAATCTGTATTCTTATTTACGTTCTCAAGAAAGTTCAATACAAAAAATATAGAAAGGTATACATTATTTAAACCTCCCTTCCTTTAGTTTATACTGAAAATTTTTAGGTTGCGCTTATGCAACTGAAGATCACCAACAAAAAGGGACAAGCTGCTATTTAGGGCATCATAATAACTAACTCAAATTTACCATAAGACATACATATTAATTAGTAAGTTCAATAGTCAATATAGCCAAAAATAATCATTTCAGTTAGCATTTACTGGAAATTTTAGCAATCTAAACACTCACACGGTCAGGTTTAATATTGTCCAGTGATACCTTTATTCCTTTCTCTTTCTCAGGCATGGTCTTTCTAAACATGTACAGAAAAGGCACAGGTCTCAAACTTTAAATCAGGTGACATCATTGTCATTCTTTCTGTGTTCTGGTCGCCAATTAATTTCCCTTTCCTTCTTAGGCCTAAGGCTCTGACTATCTTTTGCAATATGCAGTAGATTATAAATGTTCAAACTCTGACCAATTGGTGATTTTCAAACAGATGCCACCAGGGTAGCCAACAACTGCAGTATTCACTCTCGTTTTTCTGTCTTTTTGGAAGTCATTCATAAATTTAAAAGGGTGGTTTTAATATTTAATTCAGAATTTTGAATCCTTCCTTCCTTCCTTCCCTCCTTCCCTTCCTCCCTCCCTCCCTCCCTCCTTCCTTCCTTCCTTGCGATCTCAGCTCACTGCAAACTCCACCTCCCAGGTTCACACCATTCTCCTGCCTCAGCCTCCGGAGTAACCGGGACTACAGGCGCCCGCCACCACGCCGGCTAATTTTTTTTTAAAATTAATTTATTATTATTATTATACTTTAAGTTCTAGGGTACATGTGCCTAACGTGCAGGTTTGTTACATATGTATACTTGTGCCATGTTGGTGTGCTGCACCCATCGACTCGTCAGCACCCATCAACTCGTCATTTACATCAGGTATAACTCCCAATTTGTATATTTAGTAGAGACGGGGTTTCACCATGTTAACCAGGACAGTCTCCATCTCCTGACTTCGTGATCCACCCGCCTCGGCCTCCCAAAGTGCTGGGATTACAGGCATGAGCCACCGCGCCCGGCCAGTGAGATATTTTCATACAGGAGTATTTAAGAATATGTACTCTCTCATATTGCCATCAATTTTAATGTCACTAATTGCTCTATAAAAGCAGTCTATTTCATCTCCATGAAAAGCACATGTACTAAAATGACCAGAGTTCTTCCAGTCAAAAGGGCATAGAATGGCAGCAAGGTACAAAACACACTTTGCTTTACAGTAAACACAGATAAATTAAGAAAAACATGTAACTTCACACAATTGAATCTGTTCTGAAACATAATCATTTCTTAAAGAAGGAGATCATAGGAGAGATCACTCCATCCTCATTGGAAATGTTGGGTTAAGAGCAAAAGATTTTATAAGAGTATAGAGACAGAATCTCATTTGAATGCATGTGTTCAAAGAAAGGCAGTAAAATCCCTGATTTCCTTCCACATAGGCAGAAAAGTGGTTGGCTTTTGCAATCAGGTAACATTTCTTTCTGGCTAGGTCAATTATCCATGGAGCCACAAATCCACAGTTCATTCTGATTGTCTGCATATCTGTGTAAACCTTTATAATGCAAATATTAACATCAATATGCTTCTGTAACATGTTTCTATATTTAAAATCAAATAAGTGATTTCAGAATACAGGGGACTATGCAAAAAATCTTATCTAGGGGGCAAAAAAGCACCCCAACATCAACTTATAAAATAAAAATAGCATTTATTTCTCGCACTCCATTACTACCACAAAAAGTAAAAAAAATACTCAACATTCTGTTTGACATTATTGACTTACAGGAATCTCAGAAAGACACTAACATTTAAGAAAATTTTACACACCTTGAATTGTGTGTGATCTGAAACAGCAGTACTTTGTTGACACTAATCATTAGATAATTACATCCTTTGGGTTATTGTGCTGTCTAAAATTAATAAGACAGCCGGGTGCGGTGGGTCATGCCTGTAATTCCAGCACTTTGGGAGGCCGAGGCGGGTAGATCACGAGGTTAGGAGTTCGAGACCAGCCTAGCCAACATGGTGACACCCTGTCTCTACTAAAAATACAAAAATTAACTGGGCGTGATGGTGCACACCTGTAATCCCAGTTACTTGGGTAACTGAGGCAGGAGAATTACTTGAATCAAGGAGGCGGAGGTTGCAGTGAGCCGAGATCGCACCACTGCGCTCCAGCATGGGAGACAGAGTGAGACTCTGTCTCAGGAAAAAAAAAAAAAAAAAAAAAAATTAACAAAAGTAAAGTATTTGAGCAATACTTAAGTTTTCTCTCTCATATTTTTTCTTCAAATTAACAATGTACATTTTTACTTCAATAAATATGAAAAATATTCATGTGGAAACACTGCAGGTTTATAAAATAATGACAATAAGAACTATATGTTCTATGTGCAGAAGAAAAGGTACATTTTGTTTCATAAATACTACAGGCAAAGGCATGAATTACGGTCAAAAATGATATGAATGATAGATTTTTAAAAAGATTTTGTGTATGTTTATCTAATAAGCAAAATCGTATTGCAAATTCATAAAAGGCAAAATGCGTATGATAGTCCTAACACTACTGTATAATCACTATAGAAAATGAGTTAATGGATAATATTAATGAATACATAGAAACTGAAATATTTGCTGAATTGCAACTAATTGGTTGAAAATGTTGCCATGAGCTGGAAGTGAACCTCATAACAATTGGATCTGAATTCTGCAGAGTGGTCAGAAAATATGTTGCAATGTAGCCATGTCATGTGAAAGAAAAAATAATGGTCTTTGGCCATTTAGATTCATGTTCATATCTTGGATCTTATAATGCATTCTGACTACATGACTTTGGATAGATTTCTCAACATTTTTGAGACTCATTCTCACCATCTGTAAGATGGAAATACCTATCTCTTAGCATAAATAATTCTTAAATGTTGACAAAAATAGTTTACCAATTTTTAAAATAGTTTTTTTTTTCCAGAAATAACATAATCCTACAAGAAACCTCCAGACATTTTTTAAAGTTTTATTTCTTATTCAATGTTTCCATACTCATTCGTTGGGTCAGTAGACAAAATGTTCTTCTTATTTTTGAGCTCTGTGGCTAACCTGATTGGAGGGAGTGAGTGCTATGTGGATTCTATACCTGGAATAACACTGTAGTATATGAGAACATGTAAACTTATCTTATCTAAGGCTTACCTTCTTTCTTAATAGTAAGAGCAATGTTAAGCTTTCTGAGTATGCAGAATTTTTTTTTTTTAGTTTAAAAATATACATGCATACATCCCTGAATCTTTACCCCTGCCCTTTTATACTTTTACTTTTTTACCTCATTTCCTAGAAGCGCATTTACACAGGCTTCTGATGCGTCACAGATGGCTGTGAGATCATGTCCTCCTTCTAGAGCCAACACCACACGTCCATCAGCCAATGTCATCAATTGCTTCGTCAAATGACCAAAACCTACCATAATACAAACAGAATATTTCAAAGTATTAAATCAAGAGAAAATGATCACTAGAATCTAACATTGATTGAACACATATTTTGAGTAAGTCATTACTAAGCATTTTCTGTGTGCTAATTCATTCAATACTCAAAATAACTTTATGGATTAGGTCCTATTATTATCTCTATTTTACAGATAAGGGACCCAAAGCCCAAGATCCCACAGCTAAGAAGTATCACAACCAAGACTGGCACCAGTCTGGCTCTTCACCAGTGCACAGCGCTGCTTTTCATAACACAATCTGTATGTATCTGGACAAAAAAACTAATTGTCCAGCCGGTGTTAACAAGGTAAACTGTTCCATTTGTTTGCCATATGCTTCCTGTCTCCATCACTGGCCTTTATTATAGAAAGTTTTCTATGCCCCCAATTGCTATCTATTACAAATTTATGTTATCTAACATAATTATTTACATTATCTAATGTAATGTAAAATCTATTACATTAGATTTTTATAAGCATTATTTTATTGTGAAACCTTTGATAAATGCAAAATATGAATAACATCTATGCATGTTATAAAATACAATAATATGACAAATATCTGCTTTTTTACCTTCCAACTTAAAGAAAATTAAATTAGCAACACTTTTTAAACCCCCATGTGCCTCTCCCTGATAGTAGCTATCCTACTCCTTGTGGGAGATCAGGATCCTGAGTTTATAATTCCATTGCTTTCCTTTGTTTAATTTCCTTGTTTTTGAACTTTATAAAATGGTTTTATAGTTTTGCAACTGACTAATTTCATGTATTTTGTTAGCTCATCTCTGTTGATGCCTGTAGCTATAGTTTTTTTGCTGTCTAGTAGGTCATTATATGTCAACAGAGGTTATCTACCCGTTCTTCTGTTGACAGAGAGTTGGTTTTCTTGTTATCACCAAATTCCAGTTTTTTTTACCATTATAAATAATGTCACCATGAACATTCTTACACGGGTCTTCTGGTGCACATATGCACATGTGAAATGGAATTTAGCAGCCTTAAAATCTGCTAAATAATGCCAGATTATTTCCAAAGGGCTATTACCAAGCCCCACTCTCAGAAACAGTATATGTAAGAATTCCAGTTAAGTCACATCCTTGCCAACATTTGGTATGATTTTCTAAGTGGGTGGTAAAAAAAAAAAAATGGCATCTTATTGTAGTTTCATTCAGTATAAGAGGGGAGCTTTCTATTTCTAATTTAACTTAGAGATTTCATTACAAATGTAATTTAATCTAATTTTTTCTTTACACATAGACTTTTCCCCATAATTTGACAGTGTTGTTAGTTACATTAATTAATATTTCAAATATGAAGCCATCACTGCATTTAGGAAGTAAAATAAGCTTGGTCATAATGTATTATCTTTTTAATACACACCTGGATTTATTTTGCTAATACTTTGTTTTAAGATATTTTTTGAGTATATTCATGAATGGAGTTAATCTGTAATTTTCCATTCTTATATTGACCATAATGAATTTTGATGTGGTTGGGACTCTCTGTTTTTATTATCTGATGCCAGAATGTCAGGGAGAAATCTCCTATGAAACCATTAGGGTCTTGTGTCCACTTTGAAGAAGATTTTTAAGTATTGATTGAATTTTTAAGGGATTATATGACTACACCTGCTTTCTATATCATCCTAAGTTATATTTTTACAGGAGTTTCCTTCTTTTATTTCAGTGTTTGAATTTGCTGAAATAAAATATTTGCTTATTATATTATTTTGAAATTCCACATAGATGTAGGTGGATATTGTCTGTAAATATTTCCTTGATCTCTTTTACATTCTCTTTCATATTTTCCATCTCTCTCTTTCCTGCATTATGTATATTTTTGATTCAGAGATGTCTTCCAGACTTTCCCTCTTCAGAGACCTCTAATCTGCTACATCACACCTTTAGTGATATTTTCATTTCTGTGATTATATTATTTAACCCTAGAATTCCAATTTTGTTCTATTTCATGACTTATTGGTTATTATTATACTTTCTTAACTCCTTGTTTATGTTTTTATTTCTTCCTTTATTTATTTCAGCATAATTATTTTGTATTCTGCAACTGACTTCTGAAATCTTTTGGCTTAGTTCGCTCTCTGTTGTTTTTGCTGCTTCATGTTCATGCTGCCTTTATTCTCCCGTTTTTAAAATTTTTACTAATTTATTTAATTTGTGGAGTACTTTGAGCTTGTATTCATTGTAACTTTATATGTGAAAAATATTTGAAGCTTGGTGCAATGGACTGAATGTCACAACCCCCCAAAATTTATATGTGGAAATTCTAAACTCCAATGTGATGTTTTTTAGAGGCAGCCTTTGGTAATTAGGTAGAGTCCTCATGAATGAGATCAGTACCCTTACAAAAGGGACCCCAGAGAGTCCTCTAGCTCTCTTGTCTTCTAAGGATCCAAGGAGAAGCTGGCACTCTTTAATTCAGATTAAGTAGAGTCCTCATGAATGAGATTAGTACCCTTACAAAAGGGACCCAGAGAGTCCTCTAGTTCTCTTGTCACTTTCTAAGGGTCCAAGAAGAAGTTGGCAGTCTTTACTCCAGAAGGCCCTCACCAGAACCTGACCATGCTGGCAAGCTGATCTCAGACTTACAGTAACCAGAACTGTGAGAAATAAATTTCTGTTGTTGATAAGCTATCAGTCTATTATACTTTGATACAGCAGCCTGAACTACGACACCAGGGTTGAATGTGATATCTGTCTTTCGAATCTGGCTCAAGTGTGATATTGTTTGCTTTTGCTGGATATCTGGGGCACTACCATCTGGGATCTATTTTAAATTCTTATATTGCAAGACTGGCTGTGGAATTTGCTGTTGTTGTTTGCACATGTATATCATAAATATGGCCCTTAAAACTTTTTTATAAATTCTCATAGAGAAGAAAGTCAGGGCATCTTTTCTTTCCTTTCCTTTTCTTTTCTTTTCTTTTTTCTTTCCTTCCTTCCTTCCTTCCTTCCTTCCTTCCTTCCTTCCTTCCTTCCTTCCTTCCTTCCTTTCTTTCTCTCTTTCTCTCTTACATTCTTTCTCTCTTTTCTCTGAAACTTTCTTTTGGAAATTCCCTTTATTGATGGCAAAAGCTAAGATAGATGTGTTGTTTTATTTAGGAACATTTTCTTTTCCAAAGTGTTGGCCCTTTGTCATTCTTTCTTTATTCTGGTCTCCGATTAAATTCCCTTCCTTTCTTAGGCCCAAGCCTCTGACCCTTTTTTACAATATGCAGTAGATTATTAATATTCCAACTCTGATCAATTGGATAATTTGGTATAGATGCCCCCAGGGTGGTCAACAACTTCAGGATTTACTCTCCTTTTTCTATCTTTTGGAAGTCAACCATAAATTTAAAAGGATGATTTTAATATTTAATTCAGCATTTTGAGATATTTTCCCATGAAAGTGTTTAAGAATATGTAATGTCTCATATTGCCAAATTTGAATGCTTTTCGTTCAACATTTAGAAAAAATTTACATGGCATCCAACCTGTCCAATTTCAGGGGCAATTGCCAAAAGGTAGGGTAAATAAAAATAAATAAAAACATGTGTTTCAATAGAACATTTCATTTTTTATATGCTTTGTGAACTTACAGTGAAAAAACATTTAATTTTTAAATCAATTGATTTTTTAATAATTCATAGATTTTATTTTTTAGAGCAGTTTTGTATTTACAGAAAAACTGAGCAGGAAGTACAACAAGTTCCCATATCCAGTCCCTTTCTTTCTATATTATTCACATTTGGTATTATTTTGGTAGATTTGTTATGACTGCTAAGCCAGTACTGATGCATTATTATTAACTAAAGTACAGTTGAGGTTCACACTTTGTGTTGTACATTCTATGGGTTTTGACAAATGCATAATGGCATGTATCCACCATTACACTATCAGACAGAATCGCTGACTGCCCTGAAAATTTCCTGTGATCTACCTATTCATCCTTCCTCTCTGCCCCTCAACCCCTGGCAACCAATGATCATTTAATTATCATAGTCTTTTGTTTGAAAAGAAAATAAATTCTCAGGGTGTGTTTGGTAGGATTTAATGAAAGCCTATAAAATCATCAGATAATGAGAACCTGAAACTAAATTAGGTTACTTCTGTTTTGAACAATAAAATAAAACATTAATCCTAGTAATGCCTTAAGATAATCCATTTGGTAAACAACTGCCTAGAAGATTTTCCCTTCTAGTCTAGCATTTGAGGTTCACCATGAACAGGATGAGTTAATCTCCTCAATATCTTGAAGCACTTTAATGTTGATTTTAACCACTTAACTACTATTTGGATGGAAGTCAAATTAGTCACTTTACAAGTATCCCATGTTTTAAAATTCTTCACAAAAATTCATTCTAAAAAGGACTTAAAATTAGTTAAAAACTGTTATCAAGCATTTTAGTATTTCTCAATTCCTATGGACCTCATCATGATGCCAATAAGAATCTTTTACCCAGGCCACTTAGGAATGAGGCTGTCCACACTAAACTACCTTATTACCCGATGACAATAAAAAGAATGATAAATATTCAGAAAAGAAGTAATGCAAAATTTTGATCCCTAACGCTCAAAAATGTTCTTTCCCTAAGCCAAGATTAATAGCACATAGTAATTAGTATCATTCTAGAAAATTTATGTAAAAAATCTAATATGTAAGGATACATTTCTGTTAATCAATTGTTAAATATTCTAGATAGCTTTTTCTGTAACCTAAACCAGGGCTACAGTGATAATTTTAAAAGGTATGATAAATCAAGCCAGAAATCTTACTAATAATTTCTAGTAATTTAGAATTCAATTATCTAAAGTCACTACTGAACAAATCAAATCACTGGATTAAAAAAGAAAGAGAGAGAGAGATCCAAATCTGGTTTAAGTTCACTCTTTCCTCTGGGAATGAAAAAAGTACCATAAAATGCCAAATTTAGATGGGATAGTAAAAAGTGGAAGGAAAGAGTGGAATGAAG